AGACGTCCGGGTACCATCTAAAGCAGAATGTACTGGTGACAAAAAGGAGGTACCCACAGAGGGCTCCGAGGCTGTGAAGGGAAAACCCTGTGAGCCGGCTTCCAGGAGCAAAGGAGGGAGGGAGGCCCCAGGAGAGAAGCCCCTAAGCCCAGCTCCAAAGGAAGAAGCTTCACCAGAGAGCCGGCCCCAGTGGAAAGCGGCCTCCCTTTCTGCTCTCGGTCCGAGGGTCTGCTAAAAGGTGGACACCAAGGAAGCTCTGAGACCTCAACCGCCCAGGCCCAGCCCAACATCACCAGGAAAACGAGCGGCTGGCTTGAATGAAGAAGGGAAGGGAAACCGTGACCCTGGACACTGGTGGAGACAGGAGGCCGTGAGGGGGCACCGCAGATAACAGCTCGGCGCCAAGAAGACATGACCATCCCCAGGGCCCTCGCAGGCCACGCGATTGCTGTCTGCCTCAGTTTCCCCTCCATAAAACAGTGAGGACTGATCGAGATAAATGTGTAAAGTGCTTTGCCAAGCTTAAAGCGCTTCATAAACGTGTACTGTCATCACTGTTACACATTCAACAACCCTGTGCTGGGCAGGTGACCCCAGCAGTGCTATCCCCGCATCCTGAACGAGGAAAACACAGCCCAGAGGAGCGAAGGGACTGGAGACAGGATTTGAATCCAGCCTTTCCCGAGGCCTAGTGGTCTGAGAATGTATCCCCACAGTCCAAGAGAAGGTCTGGACAAGAGGCGTTCTTCCAGCCTTCACACGTGTGCTCATGAAGCTCTCGTACACATGTGTGCAAGCACACATGTGAACAAATACATGGATGAGCACACATCTGTGCACACAGTCACATGGGGCCACTACATGAACACATCTGCACATACATGGACGTATGCAAGAACCCACATACAATGCTTACACCAGCACGTCGCAAGCATGTGCACAAACAATCATGCACTCGTGTACATGAGCACACATATACATTCACATAAGCAAACAGCGCACATGCAGCAACACACATGTGAGCACACATACATACACACGCACCCCTCATGAGCACACTGCGCGCCTACACCTATGCACATACATGTGTGTCTGCGTGGCACACATGTTCACCTGTGTGTGCATGCATATAAGTAATATAAGCAACGCTCATACACACAAGCAGACACGTGCACACACCAACACATGTGAGCACACACATGGATACACACACCTCTCATAAGCACACTGCACACAGGTACATGCATGCGTGTCTACATGGCACACATGTTCACCTGTGCATACATATAAGTAATATAAGCAACACCCACACACACAAGCAGACCAGTGCACACACCAACACATGTGAACACACAAGCACACCCCTGCACACACGTACACATACATCCTACCAGTGTGCACTCATGCGACAGCATACAGCAGCACACTGTTTCTGTGTACACACTCATGCACTCACACACGTGAGCACACATGGGACTGAGAAGCTCAGCCTTCCTCTCTCAGCACGCTCTCAGCAGGCCTTCCATCCATGCCCTACCTGGACCCCCCCTCACTTAGCACTGGGTCTTCCAGGCTACTGCCTTCACCCCTCTTGAACCAGAACACTTCCTTACAGGCCCAGATGACCCAGCAGCCCCTGCATCCACACGCACCCAGCCAGGAGGGCAGTGCCTCCCCCCAGGTTAGGCTTTCTCAAGCTGGGGGTCCCTGCCTCCTCCCCAAGACTCAGCCAAGGAGGCCTTGGCCCAGACCTCCCAAAGTAGCAGCCAGACGGAAGGCAGTTGACCCTGGAACACCTGGAGGGAGGAGAGAGAGACACAGGGAGGGTGGGAGGAGGAGGAGGGGAGCCCACATTACTCCCCACACACCCAGCCCACCCCCACTAAGTGCAGGCACAATGCTCTGGGTCTGCCAGGAGAAAAGGCCAAGCCGTGTGGACCCGTGGCTGGTCCTGAGAGCTGGCATCTGGCCAGGCCCCAGGTGGGCCTCTCTGCCTCCTCATCTCAGCACCAGCAGGGGGCGCCTTGGCCAGGAGCCAAAGCCAAGCAGGCTCTTTGGCCCTGGGGGCTTCTGACCAACCCTCTGGTCTTTACCTCTCCACCAGAGAGGTCACATTCCCCCGAGTCTGCTGCAAGTACCGAGTCACAAAGCTGACAGCGAAACCTTCCAGGAGCCTGAGGAGCCCAGGCCCCCAAAGGGAGGCAGACGAGCCCGTGCCCAGGCGGGCCAGACGGGCCTGTCCTTGTGTCCAGACAACCGTCCTGGTCCCGTTCTCTGGGCTCTACTGGGCCACCAGTGCCCTGTGGTGTCCCTGCTGACCCTCCCAGGGAGTCTTTCAGTCCAAAGAAAAAACCCCAGCATCTCCCCCCACCACCCTATCTCTGTGCCATCCTCTCCATGACGTTTTCTCACACTTCTCACTGTATCTAGAGGCCTCGAACTGCCCCGTGACGCTCAGAACAGCACTCCCCGTCCTGGGTGTCATCCCACATTCACTCTGTCAGCTGCTAACGGCGGCAGCTGATTTGGACCCTCCCAGCAGGCCTGGCCCCTAAAGCCAGGATGGCTGAGGTGAGCATTCCAGCTACCTGGGTTGGCATGAGAGGACTGAAGCGTCCTGGTTACCAGTGGTCTCTGGGCCGAGAGGCTCTCATGCCCACTACAATACAGAGCCAGCTCCCAAGAGTCCTGTCACACAAACGCTTGCAAACCCCCGCTGTGCAGGCCCTCACCCCCACAGTCCTCCAGCTGCGCTGCCTGGCCCTCCAACCCTTCACCGTCTGAGCTAATGCCAACAAGAGATCCCAGATGGAGGCACTCGAAAGTCTCTCTGCATGGGGGTCCAAAGAGGACGCTCCTGCACATCCCCTGTCAGGCGCCCTTCACCTTCTCAACGTCAGGGCCAACTGGCAAAATGCTCTGGGCAGCCCTGATTGGGTGACTGATCCGTTGGAGCTGAGGAAGGTAGCCAACAGCCCAGATGTCTGGCTCCTGGATTCTGACTCTCCTGGACTAGCACAAGGCCCAGATCAGCCCCAGCTGCCCCCTTTACCCAGATCCTTTACTTCTGTCTCCAAGCACAGACCACGGGCTCCATCCTCCCTCAGAACCATAACCCACTGCAGGGGCCACAAAAGAAGATCTGGAAACCTCCGGCCACTGAGGGGACCATCGGCATAAACATGCTTGGAAGCCAAGGACTTAGCAGTCCACGGAGGCATTCTCGGGCTAAAAGTCCTAGACCTGAGACAGAGACCACCAGGAGCTGGCCCAGTGCCTCTGGGTCTCCCAGCCAGGCCAGAAAGGTGGCCCTTCCGGAGCCATTCAATCTCTTTGGCCAGGGCAGGGAAGATGGAATGCTCAATGTTAAATCACTGAGCGTATAAGGCAGCCACAAAACAGGGACGGACCAGCCCCGAGAGGCCACACTGGCCACGGAGAGGGCTGGGGACATACCAAGCAGCCAGTGACCCCCGTTTCTTCTGTTGGCATTGAAACCTTACCACACAGCCCCAGGCATTCCATCCACTCCAGGGCTTAACTGAGAGGGAGGCCCATCCATGGCACCCATGACCCTGGGTCCCAGAAAGAAAGCCTCCCTGGGTTAGGTTAGATTAACCAAGGACCCAGGGTCAAGTTCACAGCCCAGTGGGAAAGAAGGCCAGACCCTCCTTGGCTTCCCCGGCACGTCCAAATCACCTACCACCCTGAGCGGCTGCCTAACCTGGACCATCCCCAGCCCTGAGTGCAGGGGCCTGGCCCAACATGGCAACAGAGGTGGGATTTCAGCTCCAGGAAAACTGCACAGGAGCTGGTCACATCCCACCGACCTCAGACAGAGCCTCAGGACTACGGTCGAGGCAGGACTGAGGCACAGAAGCGGGGGCACCCAGCCCCCTGCATACCCCAGCGATGCTGCCCTTCAAACTGCCCTCAGCCCAACAGGCCACTGACCCCCCACATGCCTGCTTGTTTCCTAACAAGGTCAGACAATGTTCCTGGGGCAGAAACCCAGCCTTCACCAGTTTCTGTTGAAAGACTTTTACACAGGACCATGAGGGAGGGGATGTCATCGATCTCTCCAGACACAGACCCCCTAGAAAATCCAAGGGAGCTAACAGCACACAGGAATGCCTGCCCAGCACACAGAGACACACAAACATACAGACCCTGACGGGCCCAAAAGAGCCCCGGGAGGGCCTGAAACGTCCAGATCAGGTCAGAACAGGCCCTGAAGTGCCAGATTGGAACCCCCAAAGAGGGCCTGCCCCGGAAGCCCATCCTCCCTGTCGGCCAGGTTGGACCCCCGAGTCTTCCCAACTGCGTCTGTTCAGTTACCAGGTTTCAGCAGCCCCTTCTCACATGCACCCCCTTCCCCTGCTCCCAGGACTCCAGGCCTCTGCTGCCCTAGTTCAGGATTCAGCTCAGCACCCTTCTTCCAGCCCCAGCGTCTCCCTCCCACTCCAGCCCCTGGGGCTCAGTTTCCTCCTTTGTAATTAGGGGGTCAACCTGAAGTGCTGATCCCTAAGATGAGGCACTTCCCAAGCTCAGGATTCCCTTCTTCCCAGGCACCTTAAGTGAGGAGCCCTCATGGGCCGGGCCCATGTCCTCAGTTCACCCCTGGCTCTCCATCCCAAGGTCTTGGGAAGTGGCTCACTGCATCACAGCCTGGGGTCAGCAGCCTGCCTCCCCAGCTTGCCTGGGTGTCTGGCACACAGCAGGCGACTGGGTGGGAGCTGGGGGGAGGAGGCGCCCTCCTTTCCCAGGCCTCAGAAGCCTGTCTGTCAGCAGCCCCCCACAAGTGACAGATAACAGTCAGGGAGGCCTTCAGCGGACTAAGCAGGATGTCAGGACACATCTACTCTGCCGCCATCCCACCCCCCCCCCACCCGAGCTCAGCCCTGGCTCACAGGAGAAAGCTGTTTGGTTCTCCTGTGACGCCCCAGCCAGATGGGAGCAGAGAACCAGGGCACACCTGAGTCTGCTCCAGGGAGCCAAGGATGGACATTCTCAGACTGGATCACGGGCTGCCTAAGCACTCTCGCCAGGCCTCCTCCTCGAGGCCACCCCAAAGACAAGAACAGGTATGGGATAAACGCCAGGCTCTCAGGGCTCCCAAGGCCCTGCCCACAGGCCTCTAGCACTGTTTCTCCTCCTAGGGCACTTCAGGCAGGAAGGCAGCTGCTCAGAGGCCTGAGTCTAACCCAGGGTCCATCCGGAGCCTGGGTAGCCTCCATCCCCATCTCACAGCCCACACACATCTCTAGCTGAGACACCTTTCCTCTCTCCCAGAAACCCAGGAGACACGGTCTTCATTCAAGAATGAAGGCCAGGTGCAGGGAAGCCCCAGCAGCAGCCAAGGACCAGCCTGGGCCTGGGCTCTGGGCTCAGCTCTGCTTGTTCCTTGGGAAAACAAGGAGGCTGGATCTCTGAGGTCCTGGCAAGCTCTCCAGGAGAGAGGGAGGGGGAGGGGAGGAGGATGGCAGAAGGCAGGGGCAGCCTTCTCCACCCCAGGAGGGACCAGCGTTTATCACATCCGACTCCCAGGAGAACATTGAGGAAAAGAAAGGCTTTGGCACCTGAGCCCAGGTCCACTGACTCCCAAACCAAGTCATTTCCCTTCTTTTCTTTTGCAAAGGTCACAAATATTATCTGAGTGGATGGATCTCTGAGTCAAATGATCACTCCAAACAATGTAGCAGATGTGAACTATTTCATGAAGTTTGCTTCAGAGGCAAGGACCTAATTGCTCCATGGTGAAGCCTCAGGCCAGCTCCAGCGGGTGCCACCTGGGCCCGAGCTGCAGGCTGACAAACTGAGGCCTCAGCAGAGTGCAGGCACCTGTCCTTGGCCACAACCAGGCAGATTCAGGAGCCAAAGGCCCTGGACCCAATTCACCTCCAACTGCCTTTTGGACAAGCCAAATGTTTCTTTGGGCAAAAATGCTTCAAAGTTGTTTCAGATGGAAACAGGCTGCAAAATGCCATTTACCTTTGGAAAGAAGACCCACCAGAGAGGCAAAGTTCTGGCCCAGCTGGGATTGAGAGGAGGTAAGGAGAGAGCAGGAAGAAAATTCCTAGGAAGAAGACAAGGGCACCCCCCCCACACCTCCAGCCTGCCCTTCCCCCTCCCCTGACAATTCCCAGGAAGATGGGAATCACCTGACTTGCCAGGCCAGGGCCATGGGCACATGGAGGCTTTGGGCCATCCCACCAGTCAGACCAACCCCCACAACCTCCTCCTGCCATTCCCAGATACTCGAAAGAAGTAGCCTCAGAGGATAACCATGGAAGGGGAGGCAGTACCCCCCACCCCACCCCCAGGGATCCCTGGCCTTTAAAGGGAGAGTGAGCGTTGCTCAGATGGATGAGGCAAAGGCCAGCGGCCCCCTCAGGAGCTGGGGCAGGGGACACTTCAGGAGAATCAGAGCAACTGGTCACCCCCAAGCTGCACCCAGTTTTCACAGTAGGGAGACGGGATCTTTTAAGCTTCGGTTTGCCTTTTCTCTCTGATATGAGGAGTGCAGCAGGCTAGGACACGTCCAGAGAGGGCTCGAAGGCTTCTGGTCAGGGCGCTCCTGGGGCTGGTTTAACAGGGAGGGGGGGAAGTTGGGGGGGGGACGGAAGCCGGCCCTATCCTGGTAGTTTCTCAGATTCGCTGCAGAAAAAAAGCCCGAGTGCTCCCGAATTCCCAGCGGGCTCCATTTCTTCCCGAGCCAGGCGGGATGGCTGTCTTAGCTCGGCTAGCTAAGCTAGCCAGAGGGCTCCTTGGCCCTGGCCTCGGCCCTGGGCTCGGCGGGAGGGAGGGGCTGGGGGCTGCCTCGGCCCGAGGAGACGTCTAATTGGTTAGGGTCCGGCTCGCTCCCTACAGATGGGGGGGAGGGGAGGAATCAGCCCCCCTCCGAGGGCCGAGCTTTGTTTCAGCTCTTCGGGTTCTTCGGAAAGGCAAAGCCAGGAGAGGGAAGTTGGGGTGAGGCCCGCCCCTCCCAAACTGGTTCTGGCCTAGGCAAAGGTCAGCCGGGATGGGGAGGGCAAGGGAGCAGTGGGTCCTGGGCCAGAGGTTCGGAGGCCAGGACCCCAGGGGCCCAGAGCCCCAGAACAAGCCGCAGCCCCCTCAGGCAGCGCTGCCAGGCCCGACCTCCGGAGGGAGGAACGGGGGAACTGGGAAGGAGGGGCCGCTCCCTGGCACGAAAGCCGGGCAAGGCGGGGCGGGGCAGGGCCGGCCGGGGAAGGGGGCGGCCACATCTCTCCCCACTGCCGGACCCGGCTAAGGGGGCCTGGAGCACGGCCCGGGCCAAGCAATATAGGGTGCTCATTCCCAGCGGAGCCCCCGGGGAGCCGCACTGGGGGTGGCGGGGTTGCGGGTGCCGGGGGGCTCGGCGGGGCCCCCTCCCCGGCCCCGCCCCCCCGGCGCTCCGGAGGCTGCCCCGGTGCGGAGGTGAGGGCCCTCCGGGCTCTCGGGCAGAACCATCGCGTCCAGTCCCGTGCCGCCCCGCCCCGCCCGGGCTGCCCCCAGCGCCCCACTTACGTCGTCGAAGAGCGAGCCCACGTTGGCCGTGACGAGCAGGATCCCGGTGCCGCCGGCTCCCGCCGCTTTCCCAGCCATCATGCCCGGCCGGGGTGTCGCCGGACAGGCAGGGCGGCGGAGGACTCTCGGTCCGACGGCGGGAGGCGCCGGGTGGCCCGGACCCCCGGGCTGGGGAGGGGGGGCTGGCTGGAAGGCTGGCTGTCGTCCGCGGGGCTGCGGGCCCAGAGACCAGGCCGGGGCTGGGGGCCAAGCTCAGGCGGAGGCGGCCCCGACGGGGCGGGCGGCGGCGGAGGCAGCTGGCACCGGGCAGCGCGGGTGGCAGCAGCAGCGGCGGCGGCGGCGGCGTAGCCGGGGGCTGCGCCCCGGGCGCATCTCGGGCGGCTCGGGGCCGCGCTCAGGTTCGCGTTCGGAGGTGGGAGTGGGGCGGCGGCGGCGGCAGCAGCAGGAGGGCGGGCAGGGCCCTTGGACGGGGCGGGCCAGCACGCGGGCTGCGGGGCTGGGCGTCCGGCGGGGCCCGCTCCGCTCCGGGGGCTTGGCACCCCGGCCCTCTCGGCTTGGCCCGGCCCCCTCGGTCCGGCCCGGCTCGGCTCTCTCGGCCCGGCTCAGCGCTCCCAGTCCGCAGCCATTCGGTGCCCGCCAGGAAAGTTCCCGCTGCCGCCGCGGCCGCCGCCGTGTCCCTGCTCTTGGCAAGTTCCTGCGGGAGGAGGGGGAGGAGGCAGGGGCGGGGCCGGGGCGGGCCTGGGAGGGGGCGGGGCCCTCGGGGGCGGGGCCGGCTTTCGGCGGGGGACGGGGGGGGGGCGCTGGAGGCCAGGCGACCGGGCCGTGCGTGCGTGCGTAAGGCCTTCCTGCGTAGGGCCGTGGGGCCGCCCGCCTGGCCGTCCGTCCGCCCGCCCACTCGCCGGCGCGTGGACCGGCTCCCGCCGCTCTCTCCTCCCCTGCCCTCGCCTCGGCTGCTCTGCTGAGGCGGCCGCGGCGGGGGCGTCCGGGCTCCGGGACTCCTCGGGGATCCTCGGCTCCGTTCGGCTCCGCTCGGCTCTGCGCCCCGTGACGTCACGGGCGGCCTGCGACCGCAGCGGCAGCTCTTAAAGGGGCCGCTCCGGCCCCGGGGCCGGGGGCGGGGGGGGGGCCAGAGCAGAGAGGAGGGAGGAATGGACTGTCCCTCCCCCGCCACTGCCCCCATGCTGCCTGGCCGAGGCGGGGAGGGGGGAAATAAAGAAGGCGGGCTGAGTGTGTGTTTGTATGTACGTGCCTGGGTGTGAATGCGTGTGTTTGTGTGTGAATGGGTGTGTCTGGTGTAAATGCGTGTTTGCGTGTAAATGCTTGTGTGGGGGTGTAAATGCGTGTGTTTCTGTGTAAATGGGTGTGAATGTGTGTGTGGGTGTAAATGTATTTGTATGTGTATGGCTGGGTGTCTGTGTAAATGTGCGTGAGATCTAGAGCCCCAGCAGAGAAACTCAACCTTTCCTCCAGGGTACAAAGGGAGAGGTGGGGGGTCCAAGGTGGAGGAGGGTCTCACTACCCTTTAGGGAAGAAATGCTCTCTGGGCAAAGGAAGCCCAAGCGTGATACCTGCTATTGCTGGGCCTTGGGAGATTTCCAGGAGACTCTACTGGAGGGTTCTTAGCCCTGCCATGGACCACCCCAAGAAGTACGTCCCCCAGCCCATGGGAGTTGCCTCAGCCCCTGACCTTCATGCCCGGTCCCAGACTGTCTCCCCCACCATACCTATCAGTCCAGTGATATCGTCATCCATGTCTCCCACAGAGGATTCACCACATGTGCTGGGCATTATCCTCTAAACAATTATATTTTATAAATGCCAGTAAATTATGCAGGGGGCAGCTAAATGGCTCAGTGGATAGAGCACTGGACCTGGAGTCAGGAAAACCTGAGTTCAAATCCAGCCTCACACACTTACTAGCTATGTGAACCTGGGCAAGTCGCTTAACCATGTATACTTTAATCCACTGAAGAAGGAAATGTCAAACCCCTCCAGCATCCTTGCCCAAAAGAAAAAAAAAAGAGAGAGACCCAAAAACGTGGACGGTGTGGTCCATAGGACCACAAAGAGTCCATGACAGCCACAACAAATTACACAGGCTCTCCGAGGGTTATTCCTCCCTCTGATCGGCTGTGCCCTGGAGGGGGTGGGGAAGACTGAGGGAAATCAGACATCTCTCGTTTGTTGTATTTTAAGAAGAAATGCCTTGGTATCTCTGGTCCCAGAACCAGAATCATGAAAGGGGACATTCAAGGGCAGACCAATGGGGGAAGAAAGAGCATCCCCTATGTAGAGGACCTCAGGCCACCCAAAGAGAAAGACAGAAGAGATACATAGCCAGATCCCTATGAGATACCCCAGGATGTCGACTTCCCTTGCCTCTCCCTGGCCCAGGCAGAGCAGCCCAGAGCATCTTTCTGAAGATGGAAGAGATGACGAGACAGAATTCTAATGGAATCTGACTCTCAGTATCAAGAAGAGATTGGTCCTCAGAGTAGAAATGATGGGAACCTTATGAGGAAGGTCCACTCCCTTCCAGAGTCACTGAAGAAGGAGGAAGGAAAGCCAGGCATAGTTTGACATGCACTCTAGTTTGGAGGGAGCCTATTTTAAAGGTCTTTTAAGAGGACAGGTAAGTAGAATTCTGTCAAATTGATGGTACAGTGGATAGAGTGCTGAACTCAGAGACAGGAAGATAGGGGTTTCAATCTCACCTCAGATGTTTGCTTAGCTGTGTGTGTCTGGGCAAACTAATTTGCTTCTCAGCCTCATTTTCCTCCTCTGTAAAAAGAGGATGATAATAGCACTCAACTGAGAGTGTGTGGAAAAAAAGCTTAGCAAATCTTAAAGGTCTATAAATGCACACAATAGCTATTAGGGAAAGTCAGCCTAGAAGGTAAGGGAATTTCTTGAAAATAACATACTGAAGGCACTAAAGCAATTCCATTAAAGAGGAAAGGGGGAGAATTGTCTAAAGAGACTTGCATTGGTTGCAAGGTCTGACAATCCAGTCCTTTATTTCAATTGATCTAGCCTCACTCTCTGGTGTTCTAACTACAGGATTATTGATAGTGTCTGATTGTCCTCAGAAGGCTCACTTTTGGTTCTGATTCTGAGAGTAAAGCAGCATACAGGATAGAAGTGGGCAACTAGATCTTCCCAGAGATTGTAGCCTGTTTGTGGTTGGCCCAGGGATGTTAGGGACTCAGGTTTGTCTATTAGGCTAGACAAAGGGCACAGCCGATCAGAGGGAGGAATAACCTTCGGAGAGCCTGTGTAATTTGTTGTGGCTGTCGTGGACTCTTTGTGGTCCTATGGACCACACCGTCCACGTTTTTGGGTCTCTTTTTTTCTTTTGGGCAAGGATGCTGGAGGGGTTTGACATTTCCTTCTTCAGTGGATTAAAGTATACAGGGTTAAGCAACTTGCCCAGGTTCACATAGCTAGTAAGTGTGTGAGGCTGGATTTGAACTCAGGTTTTCCTGACTCCTCCTGGTTCTGCTCATTTCACCTGCATCAGTTCATGTAAGTCTTCCTGGGTTTTTCTGAAATCTGCCTGCTCACTCTGACATTATTCTTATACCATCAAGCCTCACTTCTGCATTCATCTTGTTACTTCCCTTTTCAGTACCACCTAGCTGGCCCTATTTGAAAGTTTCTTAAAGAAGAATATCAGAGAGTGATCTCAGAAAAGCCAACGACAAGGGCAGCTAGGTGGTGCAGTGGATAGAGCACCGGCCCTGAAGTCATGAGGACCTGAGCTGAAATCCGGCCTCAGACCAAACACTTGACACTTACTAGCTGTATGACCCTGGGCAAGTCATTTAACCCCAATTGCCTAAAAAGAAAAATAAAAAGAAAAGCCAAGGACAATGAGTGTGGTTTGAGGGATCCAAGCATGGCTGGGACCCTGCTTAGGTTGGCTGGGACGTCGATAACTGAACCCAGTGAGAAACCAGAGCTGCTCAGTCTTGAGTTTGCTTCTGTTTGCCCCGCCAAGGCAAGTGACCAGTGACTGGAAAGGGCAGGACAAAAGTAGCTTTTGTAGGCAGTGGAACCCCAAGGGTTAGCGCCTCACTGGACTTGAGGAGCTAAGTGTCCAGGTCCCAGTGAGCCCTGCCCAAAGTCCTGGGGAATGTAGCTGTGATTTCAGAACTGCTGTCAGTGGTGTTGGAGGGATCGTGGAAAATGAGGAAAGCACAGCTGGGCCAAAGAAGATGTAAGCCCATTTTTTAAAAAGCAGGAAGAGAATCGAGCCTACAGGCCAGAGGCCATTGAGCTTGACCTGTTCTTGGTAAAACCTGAGAACGTGTTGAAGGTACAGTTAGTGAATGACTCACCCGAGAAGCCACGGTCCTGCCAAACCAGCTTCGCCTCCTTGTTCTCTCTTCCTCACCTCCTTGCTGAGAGAGGAGTGCTGTGGATAGCGGCACCTTGAGTGTGATTGGCAGTGGTTTTGACAATGTCTGGATCTCCACCTACCATCTCTCCTGGACATTAATACTGCACTATCAATGCCCCCCAGGACATCTCCACCTGCATCTGAATTCAATACATACACAACAAAATTTGATCTATTTCTCCCAAAAAGTGAGCCCTCCTGGAAATATTCACATTTGTTGTTGTTGGGGGCACAGTCACCCAGCTCTGCACTTCCTCACCCCCACATCCAGTGAGTTGCCAAGGCTTGTCTTTTCCCAATGTCCAACGCCCCTCACAGCCACCTCCTCTCTTCTTTCCTGGGCTGCAACCCTCTCAATCCCTTGTCGCTCTCTCCTGGATGGTTGCAATAGCCTCTTGGTCAATGGTTTTCCTCTCTGATGCATTCTCCATGTATCTGAACTCCTCTGCTCAGGAGCATTCAGTAGCTCCTTCTTGTCTCTGGAATAAAATACAAGGTCTTCCACCTGACACTTAAGGTGATCCAAAAGTTGCCCCTCCCTTCCCATAGTCTTCTGTCATCAGGTGGCTTCATGTGCTCTTGAGCTCTGGCACATTGGCCCAACTGTGGTCCCCTGTAGTACACGTTCCATCTCTCCCCCCCCCCCCGAGCCTTGGAATGGCCATCCATCCTTGTCCAAAATGGCCATGCTGCCACTTCCTCACAGGCCTGGCTCAGGGTGGGCACCAGCTCCTTCCTGAGGCTTTTCCTGATCCCCTCAGTTACAGGTTCTCTCTCTCTCGGTCTCTCTCTCTCTCTCTCTCACTCTCTCTCTCTCTCTCTCTCTCTCTCTCTCTCTCTCTCTGCCCCCTCCTCTCTGTCTTTCTGTCTCTCCTCTCTCTGTCTATCTTCCTTTCTCTTCTCTGTCTCTCTTCTCTCTGTCTCTTCTCTCTCTCTCTCTCTCTCCTCTCCTCTCTCTCTCTCTCTCTCTCTCTCTCTCTCTCTCTCTCTCTCTCTCTCTCTGTCTTTCTCTCTCTCTCTCTCTCTCTCTCTCTGTGTGTGTGTGTGTGTGTGTGTGTGTGTGTGTGTGTATACACTTTGTATCTATACACATTGTAACCCCAGTAGAAAGGAAGGTTGCATGCTCTGGTGTTTTCCTCGATGTAACCCCAGCCCCCCATCAGAGGGCCTCTTGCCTCTTGGTTACAACATGAGCTCCTCTGTTCAGCTGCTCCAGCCCCACACAAGCGAGCCCAGTCTCATGGATGTGGTCCCCATCCTCCCCTGGGGATCCATCTCCCCTCTTCTAGCTCTATGCCGTTGCTCATGGAAAGAGGCAGCTAGCACTGGTCCTCCAGTGAGAAAGATCTGAGTTCAAAACTGACCTCAGACACTCCCTGGGGGACCCTCAGCAAATCACTTAACTGCTGGCTGCCTCATTTTTCTCAACCATAAAATGGGAAGAGTAGCAGCACTTCGGGTTAGGGTTAGGGTCTCAAATGGGAAAATATTTGTAAAGCATTTAGTAGGACAAGGCCTGGCACATAGTAGGTGCTATAGAAACCTTATTCCCTTCCCTCCTTTCCCCTGCTTCCCGTACCTAGAACACAAGCTCACCTTTCTCTACCTCACAGAGCCCCCATCATCCTGTTTAGGAAGCCCTTCCTGACCCTTGCCAATTCCTTAGCACTCACCCTCCCTCCCAAACTACCTTCTGTGGAACATGTTTTTATTTCAGTTGTAGACCACTTTTGTTGTCTCCCCATTATTATACTCTGGGAGCAGGGATTGTTCCCTCCTTTGTTATTGGACAGTAAAAGCTGACTGGTTGATTAATTTCCTTGTACACCATTGGGGATGTGGGTAGAGAGCCGAGGGCATTCACACTATGTCACAAGTCTGGTCCCAGAGGGTCTCTGTGCATGTGTCTGTGGTGGCTTAGAGCAGGTCTTTCTGAGAGCACCCCAGGGATCTGGGCATTGGCTCTGTACAGTTTAACATTTTTATTGATGATTCAGAAAAATCACCCAACAGACATTAGTTAGGCACCTGCTGTGTGCTAGGCACTAGGGGCATGATTAAATAGCCCCTGTCCTTCCAGAGCTCATCATCTCTCTGGAAAGACTGCACAGAGGCGAGGGCGAACACACGTACACACAGAGCCACTACAAAGCGCACACGAGATCACAGGGTGGGTCAGAAGACGAATTAAGCACTGGCAGCTTGGTAGTTGGAGAGGCTGGTTCAAAACTTGCCTCCTGTGCTTTTTTCTCTGTGACCTCAGGCAAGTCATTTGACCAACATAACCACAGGGTGCATCTATAGAGCATCATACGAACATCTCACTTGTCTTCACAGCCTTGGAAGGTATGGGCTATTATTATCATCTCCATTTTACAGATGTAGAAATAGAGGCAGACAAAAGTTAAGTGACTTGTCCAGGTCACAAAGCCAGTAAGTGTCTGAAGGAGGATCTGAATTCAGTTCTTCCTGACTCTGAGTCCAACACTCTGGTCCCTCTTAGCTGCTTTTCTGCGCCTCGGGTTTCTTGGCAATAAAATGAAGATGGACTGTGATCTCTAACCCAAAAGCCTATATGTCCAAGCGTATGCCGTGAGTGAGGCTAGAAGCATTTGAATTCACAGAAGACATGGGAGGGAGAACTAAGATACTGGTCGGCAGAGTCAGGATCCCAGCCACCAGGGGCCAGATTTAACCACATGAAATGGAATGGGAAGACTGGGGGAGCAACTTAGTGAGGTCACTGGTGTGCAGTGATTTTCTTGGAGTCCTGCATCTGACACGCAGGAGCTCTGTGACCATGGACGCATCCCCTAATCTCTGAGCCTACAGGTTCCAGAGAGCCAGGTGAGATCTACGGTAGCAAAACATCTCCCGCCCTGAGGAAATCACAGACTTGTGCTCGGATGAGGATAAGTGCAAGCTTACCCTTGGGCTCAAAAAATTAATCTCACAAGTAGAAGGCACGGGGGCATGGCTAAACAGCCGTCAGACTGGATGACTTCTGAGATCCTTCCAACTCTGAGATTCTGTGAGAGCAGAGGAGAGAGAGAGGGAGAAGGGAGGAAGGAGAGAGAGAGAGAAGGAAGGAAGGAAGAAAAGATAAGAAGTGGGGAGATTAAAAGAGGGAGAAGAGTAAAAGAGGAGAGGGAAATAGAAGAAGAGAGAAGAGGAGGAGATAAGAGAGAAGAAAGGGAAAGAGAAGGCTCAGGATTGAATTTTGGAGGACTCACCAGGATTAGGAAGGGAGAAGCATGATGAACCATCATTGGAGGCCAGCAGGAGGAGCGTGGAGAGGGACTCCACCAAAGACTCTAAGGTCAGTGCGTCCAGGAGAAGGAAGAGACCTTTGGAAAGTCATCAAGCAAAACAGCTGGCAATATGGCAGCAGCCCTGGGTGTTGTGAGCTGCACGTGAGGCTCTTCCAGCTCCAAGGAGCTGTTAAAGACTCTCTTCTTGTTACTAGTTAGTTTTGGTTGGGGTGTGTGTGTGTGTGTGTGTGTGTGTGTGTGTGTGTGTGTGTTTTGGGAGGGGTTTGCAATTTTCCAGCCAATCAACCAAAAACTCCCGTGGCCAAGGTTTGAGGAAATCCATTTGCTACAGGAGATTCCAGCTTCCTAACAACTCACTGCCAAGTTCAAGCCTGATATCTGGGATGATGATTTCAACCCCCAAGAGAGTCCATTTTCTCCAAGGAATTGGATTCTCTTGGTTTGCCCTCATCAGGACAAATACGTCCCCAAATATGGGACATATTTGACTCGGAGCTCCAATGATTCTTTTTTTCTTTAAACAGTTCATCTGGGGGATGCCGGCCAATTCTCTCCACTTGCTTTCAGACCAAGGAAAGGAGCCGCAATGGATGGTAAGGGGGCTCTGCTGAGAGCTTGTGAGCTAGAAGAGATAGAAAGTCAGTCAGTCAGCCAAAAAAACGATTTATTAGACGCCTACTGTGTGCTGGCACTTCGATAAGCACTAGGCATACAAAAAGGGCCAAAGATAGTCCCTGCCCTCAAGGAGCTCCCAGTCTGATGGGGGGGGGCCCACAACATAAAAAAATGTGTACAACAAGCCCCACCTCGTATCAGTGGCCAATAATTAACGGAGAGAACGCCCAAGAGCAAAGAAGGGCTGGGGCAGGCTTGCGGGAAGAGGCTGGGTTTTGAGCAGCCCTTCCCAGCCTGGGTTTGCTGCTGCTGCTGCTGCTGTTTTTTGTTCCTTCTGGGTATTTTTATGGGCGTCTTTGGCTTGTTCAGGATAGTCCGGAGGATTTCAAGGGAGGCTCAGGAAGTCCCCCAAACAAGTCACTTTGATTCCCTTTCATTTTGCAGCTGTTTGCTTCTGGAGCAGGTGTGTGTCTCCGAGGCAGAGGCCTGAGAGTTCAGCTAGTCATTTGATGTGCAGTAGCACATTTTCCCATCTTCCCAGAGGGAGCCACGGTTTCCTCCTGATGTCCTGGGAACGTGCTGGCTAGCCCACGTACATCATCGCTGCCGGGACCTCCGCTTCCGTGAGAGAGGAGCAGGACGGCAAAGGCTGGTTGGCTACGAGAGTTTCACCTGGCTTGGCTGGGAGAGCTCAGGACAAGAGGAGCCGGGCGTGGCAAAGGGACAGATTCAGGGGCGATGTCGGCCACGCCAACCACGCGGAGCAGTCCTACGGTTCGAGGGGACTCCCCTTAAGCAGAGGCCAGGTGGCCATGTGACTGGGGAATGCTGCGGAGGGTATGCCTCTGGTGGGCAGCCCTCTGTTTATCATCCTCCTTGCCAGCCTCAGGGAAGCAGCTGGGCCTGTGGCAGAGTCATGGTCTCCAGGTCAGGGAGTGCCATTTCAAACTGAAAGACCAAAGAGGGAGTATGGAGTTCAGCCAGATCCAACCCGACGCTTTATCTCTTGCTCTGACACTGATATCGCAGTCAGAGCCAATCCACTTCTGAGCCAGGCAATTTATTTAGATGGCCTCAAGGCTCCCTTGGGGAGAATTTGGCCCATTCTTTGTTAAACAGCAGCACGTCCTAAGGTCTCTAAAAAGAAACACAACAGTCCATTAGCCCACGATAATCAGACTACTGTCTAGCTTAAGATGGTAATGAGCTGTGATTACTTAATTCAATCTAGCAAACATTTATTTAGCACCTACTATGTACAAATGATTCTGTTAGGAGGAAGGGATATATAGACAAAACCAACATGGTCACTGCACTCAAGAAGCTTCTAGTCTCCCAAGAGACTACAGTATGTACACTCGCAAATATTCTTAATAGGTCTGTGATGTCCTTGATATGGGAGTTCTTAGTCTACCAATGTTGCTAAGCTCTCCGCTACACCCTTCTCCAAGTTTGCCTCGGGGGTCTACCCAATGGGCTGGAGGCCTTCTTCATTCTCTCCCCTTATCCAGAGTGTTGTGGGGCCCATGCACCATCTACCTGTCAACTCTTGCCACTGACCAGTCCATAGCCTCTTCCTGTCCCACAATCCTTTGAGAAAATCTTTAGCTATTATTTTGCAGAGTTCTTTAGCCATATGTTATATAAATACAAGATAATTTGAGGAGGGAGGAGAGAAGGCTGACAACTAGGAGGATGAGCATTTATGGGTTTCAAACCACTATGTCCTTTCGAGGCATAACATTAATAACATACATACATACATATGTGTGCGTGGGTGTGGGTGTATATCCCTACAAACAGGTTCCCAAGTCAACCTTAAGCCTCTACAGAGCCCTTTCTAGCTGTAAAATGGTTTGGGATCATTTAACAACCAATCCCTAACGTTATTACGGATGAGTCGCCATCAGGCCTTTGGATGCCCAAACACTGAGGTTCAAGAATTTGTTCAAGATGCTTTGTTTCAAACATTGCGTAGACCAGTGAGATCTCAGGTGAGGACTCCTGCCCTAGCTCCTGTCTTATTCCAAATGTGGATCAAGGCCCCTTCAGATGCTTAAAACATCATCTCTACCTTCTGGCGTCTATAAATTATGCAGCTGGACAACTATTTGGTAGATATTTTCTTATTATGCATTTTTCACTGTAATGTTTGTTTGTTGCCTGATTCTGTGCTAAGAGTAAACACCATTCCATACATATCCAAGCATGTTTGTTTGGCTCCATGGAAGGCCAGCACCATCATGCCAAGGTCACAAGAACAGGGCTCAGTGAAATTTATCAAGTTCAGAAAGGGAGAGAGCTGTGCCAGGAGGTAGGAAATCCAATCAGGTTTTGATAAAATAAATTCATAAATCCAGACATTCATTGACAGTGTGTCAGCACTGTCCCATAGAGAAAAGTGGAGTTAAAGGCATAGAAGGTAGCTAACTCTTTAAGAACCATAGATATAGGCACAGAGAAACATTTTTGTAACATCATAGAAGAAATCTAACTGAAACTAAGAGTAAGCATCATATTCACAGATTCAATAGAAGCTTTTCCAGTAAATACAGGAGTAAAGCAAGGATATCTACTCTCCCAACTACTGTTATAAATATCTATATCTATATATCTATATATATGATAGCAAGAGAAATGAAACAAGAAAATGATAATAAAGGTTGTCAAAAAGGAGATAAAGACTTCCTATTTGCTGAAGACATAAGTATTAACTTAGATTTTCTAGGAAATCAATAAAGATACTGAATGAGGGAATTAATAGCTTGAGCAAAGCTGCAGGATACAAAATAAACCCATAAAAATCAATAGAATTCCTATATAATAACAAAATCCAAGAGGGAATAATAAAAAGAGAAACACCATTCAGAACATCTACAAAATGCATAAAATACTTAGGGGTCAATCTACCAAAGCTCAAAAAATACCTGTAAAGATTCAATTTAAAAGTGCCCCTTAAAAGAAGTAAAGGGGAAAAAAAGAAATAAAGAACTACATAAGTAGCTGGAGGAATATTCAATGCTCATGGTGGGGCTGTGCTAATGTAATAAAAAATTACAAGACTCCCAAAGTTAATTTATAGCTTCAATGTTATACCAATCAAACTATTAAAAGATCCATTATGGAACTTAAGCAAATAACAAGAGAATGCTTTTGGAGAAACAAAAGCTCTAGAACACCGCAGAAATAATGAAAAGAGGTGGAGATGAAGGAAGAATGGCTTCAAACTATGTTATACAGCAGCAGTCAGTCTTCAAAACTGTTTGGAATTGTTTGTTTTCAATAGAGAAACAGGTCAATGGAACAGATTAGACAAAGGACAGTGAGAAACAATGAAACATAATAGTCCAGTGTTGAAAAAACAAAACAAAACAAAACCAGAAAACAAATTATTTAGTTAAGAACTCCATATTTGAGTTTTAAAAACTGCAGGGAAAACTGGAAAGCAGAAATTAGGCTTTTGTCAACATCTTGCACTATATTCCACAATAAACTCAAAGTGGATATGGGACTTTAATATCAAAGATCACACTATTAAAAAATTAGAAGAGAAACATTACCTATCTCTCGTAGCTGTGGGCAGGAGATAGATTCCTAACCAAGCAATGGATAGAGGCAATTATATAAGATAAAATAGGTAATTTTGATTACATGGAACTGAAAAGCTTCCACACAAATAAAATCAATGCATGGGGGGATGGGGTGGGCAAGTATTTATTTTTCTCCCACTTACTAATGTTTTATCATTTGCAATTACATGCAAAGATAATTTTCAACATTTACTTTTACAAGATTTTGAGTTCCACATTTTTTTCTCTCTCCCCAAGACAGCATGCAATCTGACATAGGTTACACAGGTACAATTATATTAAACATATTTCCACATTAGTCATGTTGTGAAAGAAGAACCAGAAAAAAAGGGAAAAACTATGAGAATGAAAAAAAAAGAAACAAACAAACAAACAAAGTAGTCTGCTTCCGTTTGCATTCAGCCTCCATAGTTCCTTCTCTGGATATGGACAGCATTTTCCATCATGAGTGCCTTGGAATCGTCCTTCAGGGGCAGGGAGCCTGTGGCCTTGAGGCCACGTGTGGCCCTCTAGGTCCTCAAGTGTGACCCTTTAACTGAATCTAAACCTCACAGAACAAATCCCCTTACTAAAAGGATTTGTTCTGTAAAACGTGGATTCAGTCAAAAGGCTGCACCCAAGGACCTAAAAGGCCATACGTGGCCTCAATGCCACAGGTTCCCCGCCCCTTAGATCGCTGCATTTCTGAGAATCAACTATTTTAGCTGATCATCTCACAACGTGGCTGTCACTGTGTCCAATGTTTTCCTGTTCTGCTCCCTTCATTCAGCATCAGTCCATACAAGTCTTTCCAGGTTTTTCTGAACTCTGCCTGCTCATCATTTCTTATAGAACAATAGTATTCCATTACATTCATATACCACAACTTGGATAAGCATTTATTAAGCACCTACTGTGTTCCAGGTTTCGTGCTAAGTGCTTTATATATACTGGCTTACTTGATCCTCACAATAACCGTGTGAGAAAGGTGTTATTATGGTCCCCATTTTACAGATGAAGTAACTGAGGCAGACAGAGTTAAGTGATTGACCCAATGTCATGGAGATGTAAGTGTGTGATGTAGAATGTGCTGTTGACACTATGGTGAGATGATTACCTGTGATATTGGTATAACAATTCTTGAGCATGCTGACATTCGTTATAATGCTATGATGTATCTTTACAGTAGGGAAGTATATTCCAACTGATTTTTCAGACACTGAAAATTTTTGGCCATTGGGAGGAACATAAGATAGTGACAGAAGAGAAGGATGAAGAAAGCTGCCCTGGGCTCCATGTTTCTTCTCCCACAGATGGCAGGGTGCATAGGGCAGATGCTCTTTACCCCACCCCGCCACCCCACCACAAGAAAGGACAGTGCGCTTGAACCTGATTCCTGGAAAAACCTCAGGATGTGTGATTAAAGAGAAAAGAGAGTGGTGACCCCAGAGCCAGCATGGATTCATCAGCAGGCCAGGCCAAGCTTGTCTCCTCTCCTTTTGGGGAGGAATTGTGATTGTCAGATGAGGGAAGTGGCATAGACACAGTTTACCCAGGTTGCAGAACGGCATTTGAGAAAAATGTTTCATGTTATTACTGGACAAAAGTTGAAGAGATGTTGCCTCGATGATAAATCATTTATGGGGCTTCATTATCAGTGAAATGACCAGACCCAGAGTAACTATGAACATTTTGGTCTCAGTCTGCAAGATCTCTGGTGGAATGCCAGAGGGTTTTGTACTGGGTCGTATGCTCTTTTTCAGTTTGATCAATAACATGGCTAATGGTTGAAAGAACGTGCTTATTGAATTTCAAGATGACCCCAAGCTGAGAGGCAGAGCTAGTGTGCTGGGTGACAGGGTCAGAAAAAGAAAATAAGAAAATATCTTGACAGGATGGGACATTGTGCTGAATCTAATAAGATGAAATCCAGTAGGGACAAATATCAAGTCTTACATTTGGGTTCACTAAGTCAACTTCCCAGATAAAAGATGGCAGTTTGTCTGAAAATAACCTGGGGAGGCAGGGCGAGGATGAGTGCACTGCTCCGCATGAGTAGCAGTTTGTGGGATGGAATCGCCATGGCAGCCAGTGGAATGAGAGGTTCATTCATTTGACCAACGTGGATTAAGGACCTACTGCATTCCCAGCAGAAAAGCAAAGTCCCTGACCTCCTGGAGCTTGCAGTCTTCTGAAGATAAACTAAAACTTCCTAAAGTGAGTGGAACGGACCAGGGCCAGAGGAGGGAGTGGTGCGAGGTGCTGTGGGTCCTCAGGTTGAGGCCGTGGGACCTTTTTCTGGTCCAGGCTGGCCTCGTGAAGGCAGAGGTCCCTCCTGATGCCACGATGCTGCGAACCACTGATTAGAAAGGTGCAAATGACCAAAGCCTTTCATGAGGAAAAAAAAAGAAATTCACAGGCACCTAGCCATTTTATCTCTTCTGTGACTCCACATTCACTTATTCAGTTGCCAGAAATAGCCATCAACAAATGCAAAATTCATTAAAAAGGACACTGCTCAACTTATTCAGATTAAATTGCTCTCTCCTGGGGGCAGCAAATGGATGGAGCACCAGCCCTGGAGTCAGGAGGACCCGAGTTCAAATCCAACCCCAGACACTTACTAGCTAGCTGTGTGACTCTGGGCAAGTCACTTAATCCTCATTGCCTCCAAAATTTAAAAAAAAAATTGCTTTCCACTGGGGGATACCTGCTTTGATGGAGACATGACCAAACACTTGACGCTTACTAGCTATGTGACCCTGGGCAAGTCACTTAACCCCAATTGCCTAAAAAACAAAAACAAAAAAAAAGCTTCTCAGTTGAAAATGGAGATGGTTTTCTCACTTTCACATGAGACTGACTTATGATCAATCAGTCAATCAGCAAACATTTATTAAGGACTTACTATGTGCCAGGCACTATGCTAAGTTCCGGGCATACAAAAAGAGGTGAAAGACATGAATCAGTCAAACCCAAAATTCTGGGGTTGTACAGGCATTTAGGGGGAGGACCCTAAGAGGGACCAAGACCAGCGAGTAGGTATGGGCTGGACTTCATAGCTGCTGAGGTCCCTTCTGACTCAGGGACTCTGTAAGAGGCAATGAAAGGGGACAGCTAGGGGGCACAGGAGTCAGGAGGACCTGAGTTCAAATCCAGCCTCAGACACTTGACACTTACCAGCTGTGTGACCCTGGGCAAGTCACGTAACACCAATTGCCTCACCAAAAAAAAAAAAAAAAGAGGCAAAGACAAAAATGTGACCTTAGAAAACAAAAATGTAAAATCACTTCCTCCATCAAACTTAACCTGCTCTCCCCCACCAGAAGCAAGACAGTTCCTCTCTGAACTCCTAGCAGTCATCAGAAGTGTGCTCACTTACCCTTCACATGTTGTAGCACGGAGCTGGAGTATAGAACTAGGGCCTCCAGAGGAGAGGGCTGGGTGAGCAGTCCGAGCTACAGGTGTGAATCCTAGCTAGGGACTCTGACCAGGTCACTTGGCTTCTTTGTGCCTGGCACTCACCTCACAGGTGTGAGATGACTAGAAAGTGTGATGAGTAAAGTGCTTTCCAGAACCTCAAAACTGCGGTCATCCAGGCCGAGCCCCCAACACTGTGCAGAGCAGGCAGC